AACGGATGCATATTTTTAGGTGAAATTTGAAATCTATCGATGAAATTCGATGTAGATTACGATTGAATTTAAAAAAATGGAATAGTACAAAAAAGCAAAAAAAATTTTTAGGGGTAGCAATAAGATTTTTAAAAATTTTTTCGCAAACTTCGATTGCAAAAATTTTTTGAATAAAACTCAGCATTTAGGCCCAATATCACCCTCCATGAGTTTCATCTGGGTCCCATGCTCTGAAACGGAGATCCAACATATCCAAAAAATCCTGCGCGGCCCATGGATCACAGAGACGGAACACAGTGACTCTCGAACCAAATAGTGACTTTATAAACATTGATGACTCTTAAACATCAGTTTTTAGTTTTGCTTATCCGTATCAACAACATAAAAATTCACTTTTTTACGTACTATCATAACGTGTACAATATATTTCCAAACATATCCATATACACACTCGTTCACAGCCTTAGTTATAAAGAATATTTTCTTCGTTTGAAGATTAATAGAAATAAATAAGACATCAGTCGTTGAACTGAACTGAAGTAGTTGTAATAGATGTTTATATAAACAAGTTTACATAGATAAATATTTCTTGACATTTTGAATTTAAAATTCTTTTCAACATTTCCTTTCCGCTGACTTTTTTACTTGTTTAGGATTTTCTTTCTAAAAGCTTTTTATTTTCTATTAAAATAAAAGTATTTTCATTTTCATGGAATATTACAATCTATAAAATCTTTCGCATCATCGAGATTTTTCTTTCTATTTCACTTGCTATAGAAAAAGAAAGCTATTTGTTAATACACAAGATTTCATCGATCAAAATTTTATAAGTACTTCAAATAAAACAATGATTTTTTTTGTCATATTTAAATATACTTCTCATGATTTGTTTCTTTTTTTTTCATAACAATAATTTAATTAAGATGGCATTGAACATTTCATCTAATCTTGAACCATGCCCTAGAGAATATACTGAGTTAAGGGTACCCAAAAAAGTACCCTGATACCAGTATGTCACAGGAACTTTTGGGTACCAAAGTACTTGCAGGTACTTACAGGTACCTAAGTGGTACTTTGGCAAGTACCCTGCTGGAAAATGCACAGTAATTGGGTACCTAAAGGTACTGATCAAGTACTGAATTGGGTACCATTGTATAGTATTTCTAAGTACCCTGTTACCAAATTTTCAGTATGTTCAGGATCGAACCTGATCTTTGACTTTTTAAAATTTTTCTTTTTCTTGAGATAATTTACTAGATTTTTTTCTTACTTTATTCAATTTAATTTTTTCAATTCCACAAACTTAGCAGCAACAATGCCGGGATCCGACTCAACTTGAGTTGGTCGTAGACCACTTTAGGGTAGTCCGATCTTAATTTACGACCAAGCTCGGCATTTCCTCGACTAAGAAATAGTCAAGAAATAATTTAGAAAAAACTAGTATGAAAATTGATTATTTTCTTATGATTTATCGAGTTGTTTATATAGAGCCGTACGTAAAAAAGAAAACGGTGAATGAATAGTCGCCACACAGAACGCGAAAAATTTAGGATACCCTGTCGAGATTTCCTCAGTAAAGTTACAGACTTGGGTATCCATGCAGGTACTTATTCAGTGAATGTACATTTACGGGTACCCCAAACAGTACATACATCAGTAAAATTACTGAGAATTTTCAAAGTACCCATATTGGGTACTCTGCTAGAGCTTTCTCAGTACATGGGTACCCTGAACTCAGTACTTTCTCTAGGGTGGTATATTCCAACAGATATCTTAAGAATTATATGTAACTCGATTACAATTGGTATTTCTTGTATTTTATTATATCTAATTGCTTCTAACAAAACATGTCGAACAGTACCAATGTTATTAATTGTGAATACATGTCTCAGTGAATTAATTTGTGCATGTATTTTATTAAGTATGGCAATATTTGTATTACAAAATGATATTAAGCAAATTATATATGAAGATTTACTTTGTGTTTTTCGTGGTTATTTATTATCTAGTGTCACTGTTGTACAGAATTATTCATATGCACTTCAAGCAATCTATCGTTATGTTACATTAATAGCAAAAAGACAGTGAGAAATATGTGTGAATAGAAAAAAGAGCAGAAAGAAATGATCAATAGACGTTAATTTTCTTCTCCATATTACATATTCGACGTAATTCGATATTTGAATGAATTCACCGTCTCGAACTTCTAGACATTATTTTGCCCTTTGAGATATGTGTTTTTTTATTTCTGATCACAGACTATGGTAAAATGTTCTACATTTCTGGTTTCACGTTGCTACATTTTGCTTGCGGAATCGATAGAAGTATATTGTGTGTCAGACATGGTTACAACTAGACGAAGAAAACGCATTAGTCGTCACTAGTTCTCTTTCTTTTCCTTCATTTGTTCTATCTTCCTCATTTCTTTCCGTCCTACTCATTTTTTTTCTTTCGCGGTTGCCATATTTCTTCCTCGTCTCGTCTGACATATTCTTTTTTTTTGTCATTCGTTTCTGTATTCATGACCCTGATGCCTGACATCACAGGAAAAAGAGAGAATGAAAGAGAAAAGATGAACATTTTTTCGAATGTTTGCTCTATCTCATTCGCCATCGACGAGTGAAAAGGAATAGATTACAACTGAAACAGACGCAATTGTGAATTTTGTGTAAGTACTGATTTTGTAAAAGAATTGATGTGATGAGAACGTCTTTTGTAAGTTTATTTGATCAAATAGAAGGTTTTGTAATGAAATAATACTATTTTCGTGTCTATTTCATTGATTAAAGTCATGATCATTCTTCTTCAGCTGCTGGAGTAAGACTTGGACAGATTACCTGAATAGCTGCTTGAGCATCTGTAATGTTATTATAGTTTTCCTTCGTACAGATGATCACAACAATCTTGCTGACTTTTCTCCGATTGTTGATTTCGATTGATACCTTGTGTTGTCGTTGTAAAGCTTCAATCGTATGGCCATCGGATCCAAACAGATTAAATAGATCCTGTGGAGCAATAAGATAGGCCTTGTGAGTATATGCAGTGCTTGGTAAGATAACCTTAGAATAAATCCAATCTACATCGATTTTTAATAGTTGAGCTGGTTCCAAGCCTAATAACACTCGAGGCGTATGTTTAAGTTCATGGACTGGCACTGCTATTTGTTTTTCGCAAAAATCAATTATTACAGGTCCAAAGACGGCTACCTTCGTCTTCTTTCCATCGAGTGGTGATTCAATTTCAATTGGTGAGCCTAGTGTCACTAATTTCAGTTTTTGAATGTATTCTGGTGGTAATCCGAGTTCGGATGAACCTGTATCCAATTCAGCTGCTGTTTCGAATCGACAGACATCAGATTCAGGCATCATTCCATTTTGAGATTTCCATAATTGATCCGCATTGATCAATACTATATCACAGCTTATCCAATGAGTAGCAGCAGATCCTACCTTTGACATGGCTTAACTAGAAATAGAAAATAGAAACATATCAGTTTACATATAAATAAGATACTTTTTAATTTAAGATTTTAAGTTCAAATTAATCCATAAGATTTCATTTAATAACTGACTATAGGAAATACAATACACTCTGGTTAAAGGAAAACTGTCTTCGATCGTACTCAATCTCAATTGTCGTAGAGAACAAAATCTGAAGAATTTCACTGCAAACAGTTTTGAAAATATTAAATTTTCAACTTTTCAATGATTTCTTTTTATAAAATGTCCTTGAATATAATGGTAGTTCAAAAAGATAATATATGTTACACAATGTATATCTGAATTAAGTTGATGGATCGAGTTGGATTCTTTTGTAGATTTAGATGTCATCAAACTACAAGAACCGAAATATTTTCGACAAACAATCGACTCTGTAATCATTCTCTGATTTTGGTTAATGAAGCAAGAGGTCACTGTTTGCATAAACTACGTATTTTACGTGTCGAAAACGAAAGAAGATAGGAAAATAAAATTTGTAATGAAACTTACAGTTACTCAACATAAATAGAAGGTACTTTCAAAAGATCATTCAGAGGTGATATTTTTATTCAACGCAATTACTACTAAGGTTAGAAATCGAGTAAGAAACAGAGAAACATGTTTCAGCGGAAAATGAACGACATTCTAATTATCATAGGCTTTATATTTTCCGTAAAATTTTGGATTGCAATTTGTAATTAGTTTTCCTAAAATTTTACTATCAAAGGTTAAAAATCCCATATTGTACTCATCATTTGACAAGAATAATCGGTGTAGATGAACCTTACTATGCGTTTTCTAGTCTCATCAAATTTAATAGGTCAATAGTTACTTAATTCCTAATAAGATATCACATCTGAACTTATAGCTGCAGTATGAGATCTGAAATTATTATATATCGGCGTTAAAGTCGAAAATAGTACTATTAAACAGTCCATAAAATCATAATTTGAAACAAACGAGCTATTATGATATTATCTTTTATAGTTAGTTTTACGATAGATGCGAATCATCAATGATTGTATGCAAGCAAAAATTAGAAGTGTCTACTAAGCTTCCTTTCAATCAAACGTATATCCAGAACATAAAACAGTTGCATCTAACTATTCGTACATTTCTATCGTATATCTTGCCATCCATGATAATTAGAACGAATTTATAACTAGTTCAGAGTCATCAAAACTAAAACGGATTCATCATCATGAAGATAACAGTTAACGAACCTCACGCCAAAAATGTGTGATCATCATACATATCTGCTTCAGTTTAGTTGTACAACGATAGTGTATCAATAGTGGCACTAGTTTTTGTTTCTATTTTAAACTGATTGTGAACTTTTTCATCTCTTGACATCGAAGACTTTTTAAGATGTACGCCGCACTTTTTTAATTCGTAGTCACGAGGTGCCTGCTTACATGCAAACAATATATATTCTATTTACTTGAAGTTAACAAATTTTCTTATTTCTAATAGTTTTGAATGAAATCCGCTTTGCACAAGTTCATATCTGAGAATTTCTCACTGAATTGTAACAAAAAAGAATTGGATTCATCGGGCGAATTTTCTTTCCGGTCTGCTTTGTTTCGAAATGAGTATAAGAAAGAATCTGTCTTAAACGGTAGATTTGAAGAATATATGTCAAGTTTTAATTAATTGAGAAGAAAAATAATATGATGATTTTTTTTGTCTGCAGGACGTTTGTTCTGCTTGTGTAGCAAGAGAGAGAACAAGGCACGAATAACTGTATTTTAATGTCTGATTTCAGTTTTCAGACGTCTCGGAAACAAGAATCGAAATATGGATTCATGCAAAATCAATTGTTTTATGCTTGTAAAAAGTGTTTAACACACTTTAACACATTGATTTATTGATTACTTTGTTCTATGTTTGTTTCTAGCAAAGAGTACATGCGTCTATCGATCCTATTAACATGCATGAATAAACAAGTCTTTTAGGTTTAGATCTTCTTGTTGCTGAAAGAATCAAGTCTTCGTCTATAGACATTCTTGACACTCGGCTATCGAACGACATAAAAATATATGAGACTGTTTTTGCATTTTAATGTATTACGGTGCAATCTATAACGATACAATTTGCAGGGAATTAGCAATTGTATGATAATAAAAAACGCAGACACAATGAATTACGTTGATCATTGATTAAACAGAATATTATTTTTGCATGCACTCTATAACAAACAAGTATGTCACAGAAGAAAAACATAACTGTTCAATCCTATCTCTCATTAGATAACTATATACTTTAGGCACATGTTCCTTTTAGTGAGTACAAGTTGAAAATGTAGGATTGACGACGATAGACTACTCAGTGTTCTTCGATCATGCTTCAGCCCTTGTCTTATTGAGGATAAGATTCAACATCCAAAGATATGAATTAGATTCAGTTGAAATTGTGTCTGTACGATTGTATATGATAGTATATTGATAAATGATCTTTTTCTAAGCACCCGAAAGTTTTTATTTCAAACCTTCACAATTGATAGAAAAGGAATGATCATTGGGAGAAATCATTTTACAGACAAGTGATGAAAATTGATAAGATAGTATTTTAATCGAATGAAAAACTAAAAGATCAAACGTATTTATTTAGATTCATTGTAGTAATTCTTATGATACGGTATCATGTACGAAGTTGACTTCGATCTTCAAATATCGAATCTACGTGAAGAAGCATATCTCAGTGTTGAAAACGTTGGTCGTGTACAAGTGTCACGTATTGTCATCTTGGATGGCGTTCGTCAATTACTGATTAATAGGTCAATGCGTGATCGTCTACATCTCGATGTTGATATTGGTCATATGTCATTGTGTAACATTGGATCAGGCAATTTAGATTTCGTACCGAATCCTAATCTTTATCAATCATTACAAGATGTTGTTCTACGTCAATATCGAGGTGATCAATGGCAAGGCTACTACTATGTCACTCCAATATTCGTACCAGATCTTCCATGGGATATTGTACTTGGATCTAATCATTTTCATCGACTTGGTGTAGAGTGGAATAGTGAGATAAAACAGTTAGTACCATTAACAACCCAACGTCCTATTTTTCGTCGGCTTGTCTTTCCATCTAGAGACGAAAGGATAGCAACTCAAGACTTTCTTCGACAATTACTATAAACAAAAGATTATTTCTGGTATTCCCTGTTCATACTTCCTATATGATTGACTTAGCTTATGATTTCTCATTTTGATACTATATATTGTCTTGTTTTTTTCTATGCTATTGTGAAATATACAGATACATACTCTCAACAACTAGTTGTCTATAGTTCATGTCTAACGCTTACAACATTGACTATTTTATAAAGAGTGTGGATGTGGGTGTGGCTGAGGATGTGGGTGTGGCTGAGGATGTGAGTGTGGGTAAAGAGAAGAATCATATCCATACCCATCCACACCCCACATCCACACCCACCCACACCCTACATCCACACCCACAC